CTGCAATCCAGTCAAATTGACACCTAAAATTAACCACTTTTTCTTGCAAATCTGGCAGGATTATATTCAGGAAATTTATTGAAAGCCTATTATTCACTCGGCAAATATTTAATGAGCAAGTACTATGTGGTGGTCACTGTTTTAGGCACCAAGGCACTGACCCCAAGGACCTCATATTATAGACCAGGAAACAGACAAATAACTAATATACTTTTGATATGAACTGATCACAGTGTAAGGGCGTACCGTAAAGATATGGTCCATACCCATGAAGTAATTTAGTCTGCCCACAGTAGAAATGGGTAAACAAATATTTGCCATACCTGTTACAACGGAGGCTGTCGCAGAGTGAGCACGATTGTTGAAGACCACACAAAGAAGCTGCGTCACCAAGTGTTGGAGTTGGCTTTGATTAAACAACTCTCATACTCACAAAAATATCTGTCACAAAAGCCTCAAAAGTCCAAGGAAGGGTTGTTATTAAGCAAGGAGCAGAGCTGGACGTGATTATACACCATTTTACTCAGCATTAGAAGATGCAGTGGAACAAGAAGGGACAATTTTATGAAACACCTTACATGACACATGCAGAAACTAAGGACTTTAAAATGCAATTAAAAGAGCAGTTTTAGGGCGGCGCCTGTGGCTCAAAGAAGTAGGGCGCTGGCCCCATATGCTGGAAGTGGTGGGTTCAAACCCATCCCTGGCCAAAAACTACAAAAAAAAAAAAGCAGTTTTACCACACATTATACAGTAGAACCTCCATAGATGACCACCTCCCTACATTGACCACCTCAAGTTGTCCTAATTTTCATAGACCAGACATGCACCACATGACCTATCAGTACAGTAGGCCTACTGCCATATGTTGACCATCTCTGTATGTTGACTGTTTTGCTACAGTCCCTTTCAGTGGTTCTCAAGCTTCCTAATGCTGCGATGTATTTTCATTGTTACAAAGGGGTTGCAACCCACAGGTGAAGAATCACTGCCTTAGGTGGTCAACTTACAGAGGCACTAA